GCTAAACATGGTTTATAAAGCTTGCTTGATATATACTAGTCTACTTTCAACTACAAGCCATATTCACTAGAGCCTGTGTACTTTTCCTTTTTAATATGACAAATTTGGCAACTCCATCATTGTGTTGCTCACAAGAAAGATGTCAAAACTCTGAATGATAAAAAGCAAAGGCCTATGTGATCGTTTGTCTTTTACTCGATGTCATTTTGCATATATGCTACTTTTTGAAATGAAAGAAAATATATTATTAGTTTGCTAGTTCCCTCTAAAAAGGTACGTATGCATTAACATTTGATGTGCCTCATCTTCTTTACTTCTTAATTATGCTCTCTGGAGTCCGCTTTAAACATGTTTTCTTCATCTTAAAGCTCTTTTTGATTAAATTTGAAGTACCAAAAGTTATTTAGAAAAGAAATATATATAAATTAATGCCACGGCATTAGACATGTCTCAAAAATATCCAGAGGCAGAGTTGCTTAATTTCTTTCCTTTTTATTTGGAGGAGAAGGTTGAATCAAAAATTCCTCATAAACTTGAGGATTAAAGAATAAGAGCATCATTATCAATAAAATTTAGTGGATATCAGCCTACTAAAATATTAATAAAAGGAAGAGACCGAAGGAGAGAGGGAGTGAAATGTCTCAGTAGTGTGAGACAATTCAAGTAATATTCATACACTTGTCACTAGTTTATTAGATCAATTTTAAAAATAATTAAAACATTAATATTTTTTTTTTTGAAATTCTTATAAATTTTATTGATAATGATGCTCTAAAGGACATAAAGGGGAAGTGTATAAAAAGAAAATAACCAAGGAAAATGGAGTTTAGTGCTACATGAATTGTGAATATGACGGATGATTTAGCCTCATAATCGAGAGTGATCCTTTCTTTGAGGCACCTTAAACTGAATGTCATATATGTAGCCAGGTCTTAAATTTCTGCTAAACAAATATTTGTAGTCTAGTAGCAAAGTGGTTGACATGTGTATTGGAGGTAAGGAATTTGAATTTGTTTGACACTACTTTCGTCGTCAACAAAAAAAATTAGATTGTCTTTTTTTTTTTGAGTCGTACTTTTTTGGGAAAATTGGAAAAAAAAATATCATTTTTCACTATATTTTTGTCAATCTACACCTTTTCTAAAATTAACATATTTTAGACTAAAATAACCCTAACAAAAATTGTTGAAATATCTAAAAACATATTTTAAGGACAATAACAATTGAAAAACAAAAAAAGTACACACGGTCATATTTTTCTTGTGAAAGAGTTTTGACAAAGTAGAAAGAAAACTTTGTGTTCATACGCTGCTCCTTTTTCGTTTTAAGGATATATCTTGTGATCTTTGTTTCTCTTAATTCATTTTAGGTTAAATTTCGTTTTGACGATTTTCTTTTGATGTTGTTCAAAGTTGATGACAATTTGAATCCTTATGTGTATTATTCTCTTCTACTTTGTTTTTGTTTTGATTTGTTTTTGGTTTCACATTTTATAATTTGTCATCTACAAAGTTTAGAATTTGCTTTCGTTTTGATTTGTTTCTATTAATTCGTTTTAGGTTAAAATTAGTTTTGATGGTTTTCTTTTGATGTTGTTCAAAGTTGATGACAATTTGTATCCATATGTGTATTATTCTCTTCTACTTCGCTTTCGTTTTGATTTGTTTTCGGTTTCACATTTTATAATTTGTCATCTACAAAATTTAGAATTTGTCTTCTGCTTTTTTTACATGTTCTACGAGATTTAGAATAAGTGTTATGCGTTTCTTATGCATTCTAC